TGTGTGTGTGTGTGTGTGTGTGTGTGTGTGTGTGTGGTTTTTTTGAGACAGAGTATCTCTACATAGCCCTGGCTCTCCTGGAACTCACTATATAGATCAGGCATGCTTCAAACTCCCAATGTTCCTTCTGCCTTTGCCTCCGGAGTCTTGGGATTAAAGGCATGTGCCACCACACCTTGGTGACATCAGTAGTTGTACTCAGATCTTCTTGAAGAGAATGATACATATTTTGTGATTCACATAAAGCCTAACTTGTTCTATCAGTCCTGATAGCCTTCTCGGAAGCCTAAAGATCTTCAGCATATAGCCCATAAAAACTATTGCTGGCATGGTGTCTTAGTTAGGGTTATATTGCTGTGAAGAGACACCATGACCACAACAACTCTTTTTTCTCCTGAGATAGGGTTTCTCTGTATTGCTTTGGAGATTGCCCTGAACTCGCTCTGTAGACCAGGCTGACCTTGAATTCACAGAGATCCACCTGCGTCTGTCTCCTGAGTGCTGGGATTAAAGGCGAGCGCCACCAACGCCTGGCTGACCACAGCAACTCTTACAATGGAAAACACTTAATTGGGGCTGGTTTACAGTTTCAGAGGTTCAGTCCATCACCCTCATGTGGGAGCATGGCAGCACACAGGCAGACATGGCGCTAGACAAGGAGCTGAGAGTTCTGCATCTTGATCAACAGGAAGCAGGGAAAAGACTAATGTGAGCTTCTGAGACCTCAAAGCCCACCCCCAGTGACACACTTCCTCCAGCCACACCTACTAATAGTGCCATTCTCTAAGAGCCCCTGGGGACCATTACTATTCAAGCCACCATACATTTCACCACATGCTGTATCCCCAATCAAAGTACTGTGTTCTCAACTGATAGAAAATATGTTGTAGCTACTCAAAAAATGAGGACTTGTCCTAGGATTTCCATGTCTCTATGGGACAGAATTTGTTCTTCATCAGAAACCACATAGTAGAGGCTGGAGAAGAGGCTCAGCAGGCAGTGGCAGGCAGATCTCAGTGAGTTCAAGGCCAGCCCAGGATACAAAGCAAGATCCAGGACTGTTCCACAGAGAAACCCTGTCTCAAAAACCAAAAGCCAGAATAAAACAAAACAAACAAACACGTATTATTTTATTTAAAAGAGGAAAAGAGAAAGCTGCAAGATGAGACATGCTAACTAGTTTATTATATGGCCTGGCAAGAGTAGGGAGAAGAGGAACAGGGGTAATGGCTGACCGCCATGGCCGGTGGCCATAGAGAGGCAGAGAGCACATAGGTGGGAGAAGAGCAGAGCAGAGAAGGAGTGAGCAGAAAGAGAGTGGCGTAAAGAGAGCGAGCAGCAGGGAAGTTGGAGCTTTTAAAGGGAAGACTGCCCATGTGCACTGAGGTTCCACACGTGCCCAGAGTGCTCACGCAGGCCGTAATGCGTAGCTGGTGACGTAGCATGATTTCCTGTTCCTAGGATTTCCTGACTGTTGTCAGGAGGCAGGGTCTGTCTCTTAAAGAGTTAGAGCCTATCAGCATTAGAGCTTCAACCTTTCACGTACGGCTCCTACAGGGGATCTAGCTTCAATTCTCAGCAGTCACAGGGAGGCTTACAACCATCTAGAACTCCAGTTCCAGAGAATCCAATGCCCTCTTCTGACCTTCAAGAGCACTAGGAACGAACATGGTGCACATAAGTACGGGGAAACACCCATACAGATAAAATAAATAAGTGGAAAAACTGATAGGACAAATTTAAGAAATAAAAAAAAGGGAGGCAGAGAGGTGGCTCAGCAGTTAAGAGAACTGACTGGTCTTCCAGAGGAGAGGACCTGGGTTTGATTCCCAGCACCCAGGTATAGGCACACAACCTTCTGCAACTCAATTCCAGGGTATCTGGTACCATTTTCTGGCCTATGGGTGCACCAGACATGAAAGTGATGCACCCACATACATGCAGGCAAAACACCCATACACATAAAACAGAATAAATTTTAAAAAAGAAATAAAAGCACAAGGCATTGGCAAACTAGAGATAATTGTTCAGTCACAAGTCTTGGTGAAGGAACCAGCTTCCCTTTCGACAGCCATAACAGCCAAACATGTGCTTCTATGACCTTGTCCTAGAAACCAGACAGTCAGATGCCTGTCTCGTGACAAGGACCCAATCAGAAGTTAGCTGGTGGCGCTATGCTTTATGGCTCTGGGTGTGCTTTACGGACAAGCGCACAGCAATGACGTAGAGAGCATAGCAACCACCCTGGGAGGGTCTATGGGCCATAACAACCAGTTGACCAATCAACACAGGGCAAGCCCTCCAAGCCTGGAGGAACACCAATCGTGAGCCTGCGGGTACCCCTAGACACTCCCCTTACGCTGCCCTATAAAGATCTGTACGCAGCGGCTTCAAGCCGTCTTTTCTAGCTGTCCGCCATGGCGGGTGGGTGAAAGACCCGAGCTAACATGGGGTTAGTTCGTTAAATTACAATAAAGCCTCGCGCAGTTTGCAGCACGCTCTCGACTCCGCCTGGTGATTGGGGTGACCGCGAACGTGGCCTGGGACCCCGAATACTTGAGTTTTCGGGGGTCTAACATTGGTATGGTTTAGGCATAAGATTGGGACCCAATAAATAACATGTCACACACACACACACACACACACACACACACACACACACTTACACATACTTCCAAAGAGTTGGTGAAATCCTTTTACTTTTCTATTTATGTGTTTTTCGAGGGCAATAGCTCTGCACCATTTACCTTTGATGACATCTGTCCTCAAAGCAAGCATTGAGCATTTCTTGGATGAATTCCTAGTATCTACAGAAGAATATAATTAAGAAATGTATATTGTTCACTTACTCCTTGCTGTGAAGAAAACACTACACCCAAGGCAACTCACACAAGGAAGAGTGTATTTTGACTTATAGTTCTGGAGGGATAAGAGTACATCAAGGCAGAGAGGTGTAGCCTCAAGCAGCAGGCTACAGGACATAAGATCTCCTGAAACTGTAGTTACAGAGTTTATGAGTCGTGTGATGTGGGTGCTGGGAGCTAAACACAGGTCCTCTGTAAGAGTAGCAAGTGCTCTTAACTACTGAGCCATCTCTCCAGCTCTTCTACCTTACTTTTTTGGGACAGGCTGGCTGGGCTATGTCCCAAATTTGGGACAATTTGGCTAGGCTGGATGTCAATGAGTTGCAGGGATCTGCCTGTCTCTGCCCTTCAGCACTGGTATTACAGATCTGTGGGGCCTGACTTTTATGTGAATGCTAGGGATCTGAACTAGGTCCTGGTGGAGGCCTGGCAGACACTTACCAATTAACCCATCTGCCCAGCCCTTCCCTTGGGGTTTTTACTAGAATTACATTAATTGCACAAAGTAAAGGACATTTCCACGTATATATGTAAGCATGCTTTGATCATCTCATCCTTTCTTACCCCTCCCATCACATTTCCCCTTCATCCTTCCTGCTAATCCCCCTCTTCCTTTCAGCTTCGGATTCTTTATAAGTCAGAAAACATGTGGTACCTTGTGAAAATGGCTTACTTCACTCAACATGACGGTCTCCAGTCGTCTCATCCACCTCCCTACAAACAAAAGTGCATTCTTTATAGTTGAATAAAATTCCATTGTACATGTATACAGAATTTTAAAAATTTATTTCTATTTTTTATGTATGAGTGCTCTGCTTATATACCTGCAGGCCAGAAGAGGGCATCAGAGCCTATTATAGATGTCTGTGAGCTACCACATGGTTGCTGGGAATTGAACTCAGGACCTCTGGAAGAGCAGCCACTCTCAACCACTGTGCCATCTCTCTGAGTCCCTTGTTTTTGTTTTGTGTGTATGTGTGTCTTTCTTCATTCTTCCTTCTTTTTTCTTCTTCCTCCTCCTCCGTTTTTTTTCTTTTTCTTTTTTTCTATTTTTTTGGTTTTTCAAGACAGGGTTTCTCTGTGGCTTTTTTTGGAAGCTGTCTTGGAACTAGCTCTTGTAGACCGGGTTGGTCTCGAACTCACAGAGTCCCACCTGCCTCTGCCTCCCGAGTGCTGGGATTAAAGGTGCATCACCAACGCCCGGCTTTTCTTTTTTTTTTAATATTTTATTTATTATGTATACAACATTCTGCTTCCATGTATGTCTGCACATGAGAAGAGGGCACCAGATCTCAGAATGGATGGTTGTGAGCCACCATGTGGTTGCTGGGAATCGAACTCAGGACCACTGGAGGAGCAGTCAGTGCTCTTAACCTCTGAGGCATTACTCCAGCCCCTCCTCCTCCGTTTTTCCAGACAGGATTCCAGGCTGTCCTGGAACTAGCTTTTGTAGACCAGCCTGGTCTCGATCTCACAGAGATCCACCTGCCTCTGTCTCCTGAGTGCTGGGACTAAAGGTGGGCAGCACCACTCCCCCCCCCCCCCCGGCCTCTTTTTTTTTTTTTTTTTTTTCTATTTTTAGACAAGATTTCTCTGTGCAGCCCTGGCTGTCCTGAAACTTGCTCTGTAGACCAGGTTGGCCTGGAACTCAGGTTTCCACCTTCCTCTGCCAACCGAGTACTGGGATTAAAGGTGTTAGCAACCATTCCCAGTTATATACAGAATTTTCTTCATCCATTCATTTATTTTTAGACACTTAGGCCGACTCTATAATGTACTGTGCATCAGTAAATACGTGAATATGGGTATTTCTATAGTAAACTAAATTGATTCTTGCAGGCATATACCAGAACTGGTGCGGCTGGATTATGTAGTGGTTCTAATTTTAATTTTAGGAGAATGTTTAAACTGATTTCCATAGTGAATGGAATTCCCGTCAGCAGAATTTCACTTGTCCCTAGTGTGACTACCGTTTTAAATTGTATGTGTGGTCCACGTATTTTTATTGGACAGTATTTCTCTAGAAGGTTCTAAAGGTTAAGAAAAAACCGGAGCAGAGAGGGGCGTTGTTCTTGGTGGTTGTTTTGATACAGGGTCTGATTATGTAGCCCAGGTTGGCCTTGGATTCAAGATGCTCCCGCTACGCTTAGCCTCTCCAGTGTTGGAGGTTTGGAGTGTGCCTCTCCCGCCCTGGGGCTGTAAATGAACCGCAGGCGACCAAAGCAACAGTCCGGGTGGTCTGTCATTCGCGAGGTGTCAAACACGCCAAGTCAAGTCGCCTGGACCTAGTCCGAGTATCCACCCTGGGTCTGTCAAAGCGACGAAGGGCGAGCGGCACACGGGGCTCGCACGCCGGTGCAGGGCCGCAGGGTCCGCAAGCCCCGTTACCCCATTCATTACCAGCGCTCCCGGCGAGCGGCCGTTAAAGCAGCAGCGTCCTGAGACACCCGCCAGGGCGTCGGGGACGTCTGCACGACGCCTAAGAAGCGGCCGGGCCGCACTGTCACCCGAGCGGTCTCCGCTCCTCGGCGA